AACGAGGGCCATCCCTCAGGCAGCCTCCATTGCCCGGCGCGCAAGACGGAGGAAGCCACCGTCGCTGCCATTCATGGCGTCCTGGCCGCCACGCCGCCACCGCAGCTCGCGCGGCTCTCATGCCACGGCACCACGCGCCGCCGCAGCCTCCTCCCACCACCGTTCTGTCACAGCCCGCTCGTCCTCCGCGACGATGTCGGTGTCGACACGCGCGTAGGCCGGTAGGCCCCTTCGAGCCGCCGGATCCGGCCACCAGGTCCTCGGCACCGCCGTCGGACGCCCAACCAGGATCTGGTGCCAGCATGACGACGTCGCCACCAAGGGCAGCGCTGCGGCTGCGCGCCTGCCGAAATCGACCAACAGACGACAGATCCACCCGCAGGGGCAACGGATCCACCCACGGCGATGCCAGAGCCAGCCATCGGAGCGCCGGAGCTGACACTAGCTCCGCCGGAAGATGTTCAGCGCCGTTCGTCCGAGAAGGCCATCCTCCCGGAGCCCAACTCAGAAGTGCCCCGCCGCCGCCATCCTAGCTGCCGCGCGGGCACCCGGCGACCGGCTCCGGTGACGGCAAGGAGGGAAGAGCGAGGAGGGGGCGGAGAGACGGCGCGGTTGAGTCGCCGCCCGGGGATACGAGCGACGCGGGGGCCTTCACAGAAATATTTTAGTACTTGTTTGTTAATTGATTAATTTTAGGATGGATATTCTATTAGGCACCTACAACAGCAAGAGCTGGTCAGCAACCGGCTAAAAGTCAATCTCTCTATTAAGCCCTTGTTTAATTCTCGCAAACTCTCAACTTTGGCACTATGTAAAAAGAAAATTCTCCGGCACATCAAATTTACAGTACATGTATGGAGTACTAAATATAAATGAAATCAAAAACTAATTACACAGTTTGGTTGAACTTTACGAGACGAATCTTTTGAGCCTAATTAGCCAAACGAACAGTACTGTTTTGTTTTTATTTGGTAATAATTGTCCAATCGTTGACTAATTAGACTCAAAACGTTCGTCTCGCAAAGTACAACTAAACTGTGCAATTTGTTTTTAATTTCGTCAACATTTATACATGTACCGCAAGTTTGATGTGACGAAGAATCTTCTTTTTGTATAGTGTCAAATTCTAGAATTGGGGAAACTAAACACCCCCTAGAATAAAATGTTTAGAGCTGAAATTCTAAAAAAAATACTTAGAGTTAGCAGCTCTGGTGCATACGAGAAACGAACCGAGGGAAGAGAGACACATGAGAGATCGATTTCTACACTTTGAGCAATCGAGCCGTGCCAAAAGAGTCTCTAGTTCGACACAAGAGCAGTTAAATATTATTATACTTTTCTCGCATGCTCCCATGCAGAATTCGGAGCAATGCTCTGGTTTCGTATGAGCTTCACAGACAAAAAGCGAACCCTACACTGGAGCTGTGTTCCCTTCGCTCGCAAGCAAATTAGGGCCTCGTTTAGATGCTGAAAAAATTTCAAACCGATGAATAGTACCACTTTTGTTTTATTTGACAAATATTGTCCAATCGTGGACCAACTAGGCTCAAAAGATTCATCTCGTGATTTCCAACTAAACTATGTAATTAATTATTTTTTTAGCTACATTTAATACTCCATGCAAGTGGCTAAAAATTGATGTGATGGAGAGAGAGTGAAAAAACTTGAAATTTTGGTGGCATCTAAACGAGGCCTAGATGGTGCCTTCGTGGCCTGACACACGCGGCTTGGTTCGACGTGACACTTTGTCGGAGCTGCCCTGTGTTTAGTTTGCGAAATTTATGAATTTGGCTATTGGAGTACTTTCATTTTTATTTAACAATTAGTGTTTAATCATGGACTAATTAGACTCAAAACGTTCGTCTCGCGATTTCCAACCAAACTGTGCAATTAGTTTTTTTCGTCTACATTTAATACTTCATGCACGTATCGCAAGATTTGATGTGATGACTACTGTAGCACCTTTTAGTTAAGTTTTTGGGAACTAGCCGGCTGTGTTTAGTTCGGGAATTTTGAAAATTTAGCTACGTAGCACTTTCGTTTTTATTTGACGATTAGTGTTTAATCATGGACTAATTAGGCTCAAAACGTTCGTCTCGCAATTTCCAACTAAACTGTGCAATTAATTTTTTTTCGTCTACATTTAATGCTTCAGGCACGTATCACAAGATTCAATATAATGGCTACTGTAGCACTTTTTGAAAAACTTTTTGGGAACTAAACATGCTCTTACCGAAAATTTCCAACTACGTACCTCGACTCTACGGGCTACGTTGAATTGTTGACATAGCATAGCAATTGAATTGAGGCCTGGTTTAGTTCCTAAAAATTTTCACCATAAACTATCACATCGAATCTTACGGCACCTGTATGAAGTATTAAATATAGACGAAAAAAACTAAATGCACAGTTTGGTTGGGAATCGCGAGACGAATGTTTTAAGACTAATTAGTCTATGATTAGCCATAAGTCCTACAGTAACTAACATGCGCTAATGATGGATTAATTAGGCTTAATAAATTCGTCTCACGGTTTCCAGACGAGCTATGTAATTAGTTTTTTTACTAGTATCAAAAACCCCTTTCAACATCTAAAATATCCGATATGACATCTAAAAATTTTCATTTCGTGAACTAAACACAGCCTGAGTGTCTAGAAACCTTGAGTACCTAGTAGAGAGGTCGTCTCGTCTGCATGCAGTCTGAATTCTGATACTTTCTGCGGCCGTACGTGCAACTCGTCTGCCACCACTTTTTTCATGGCGTCAAGCATCGACGCCTTTTCTCGTCGTACTTCTGGCAAGGTCATATGAGCCCTTTTCAAACGTGCTCGACTTCAGTTGCGCTAGACATGGTTCGTTTTTAATTGGTTTCTTTGAAAACAATAGGCAAAATAGCCGAATTCGTCCCTGAAGTATGACGCTTGGCTCAATTTCGTCCCTCAACTATAAAAACGTCCGATTCAGTCCCTGAACTATCCAAATCGGGCCAACTTCGTCCATTCGCCGACGTGGCACGCCACGTTGGCTCGCCTAGTCACCGCCGCAGCGCGCGCGCGAACCGCGCCTCCCAGCGCCCGGAGTTGAGGGCATCCTCGTGCTCGCCCAGGAGGAGGATGGCGGCGCCCGTGCTGCGCGCGAGCCCGAGGAAGTCGGCGATCGTGGCCCCCGTCTCGTCGCGGAGCAAAGCGGCGGTGCAGAGTGACGCAGCTTTCACGGCGACGCACTTTTCGCCCAAGGCTGACGTGGAGCATCCACAAAGGCGACGCCTCGAGGGCGGTCCACCACGGCGTGGAACTCGAACGCGAGCCCGCGCGCGCGCCACGCGCCAACCGGCCGCCGGCCACTGCAGCTCTCGCCGACGACTCACCGATGCCGGTGATCCAGACGCGCGCTGGGAACGCCGCGCGCGGGCGAGGCTCGGAGGAGGCCCGCCCACTGGTGCCCTCGCTGATGTCGAAGTCGATGACGTGGACGCGGTCGCGGGCGCCGAACGCGCGGAGCACCCGCAGCCGCTGCGGGCGTCGTAGTCCTCGGCGACGCGCGCCGTCGAGTGAAGCTTCGGGGGCGACGCCGAACACGTCGCGCGCCACATCGCACCACGCTGCAGCAGCGCCAGCCGCCAGGCTCAGCGAAAGCGACCATCGCGGCGCATCGGCGTGGCCCCATGCGGAGAGGCCATCTCGCCCGACCACGCCAGTAGTAGTTGGCGGCGTCGTGGTTGCGCGCGGCGAGGGAGTTTGCCAGCGGTGGTGAGCGCGACGACCAGCTCCATGGCTCCACCACCGCCGCCATTGGGTGCCGTTATCTGCGTGGAGTCGCTCCGGCCGGACCGGCCGACGAGCCGCCGTCCGTCTGCGCCCAACGAGGCCGGCGAGTTGGACGGTGACTTGTCAACTCCTCCTTCTTGGCCGCGCGGCAACGTGACGGGTTCATGGGCGACGACGTGTTTGGGGAAGCAAGCGGCGCTTCGGCACTAGGAAGACCTTCTCTTCCTCGGCTTCCTCTCCGTCCCGGACCCGCCGCTTACCTTTGTCCTCGCAATGGATCGATGGAACCATACCTCATCTCCGCCCTCGCCCATCTCGTCCGCTTGGCGCGAACGACGGGCGCCAGATTCTCGCCTGCGTCCTCCTCATGGGCTCGCTTAACGGCCTGCGCCTCTCCTCCCAGACAATACGGCGCCATTGTCGCCGGGCTCGGCTTACGCCCAGACACGGCTTGCGTGGACCGGGCGGCACGGTGGGCGCGCGCGAGCAGTGGTAACCCTGCGCCGCCGTTTCAAGGCGTCGGCCGCCATGCGAGGCGCTTGGCGCTGGCCGCCGGCGGCCGGCCGCCGCGGCTGGTCGCCCGCTGGAGAAGCCGTGAGGAGGATGTCGAATCATTGCAAGCGGGTGCTCATCTGATGCCTCGACGACGAGAAGGAGCAACCAGCCAACATCCCGGAGACGCGACAGGACGCGGTGTGGCAAGAAGAGACCTACTCTCCTCCTCTGCTCTGCTCTACCCTCCTCTGTGGTTTCGTCTTCGTCGTCTTGTTCGTGGACGCCCTCAACTCCGGGCGCTGGGAGGCGCGGTTCGCGCGCGCGCTGCGGCGGTGACTAGGCGAGCCAACGTGGCGTGCCACGTCGGTGAATGGACGAAGTTGGCCTGATTTGGATAGTTCAGGGACTGAATCGGACGTTTTGATAGTTGAGGGACGAAATTGAGCCAAGCGCGATAGTTTAGGGACGAATTCGGCTATTTTGCCTTTATTAAATATGACTATGATGAAAAGGAATGGCTTCATTGTTTAATGTTTCAGAAATAACCTAAGCTTTAGAAATTCAACATTCACATAAGGGTGGGATGGCTATGTTAACCAAAAATAAGTGGAATGAATAAGAGAGTATTGGAACAAAGATTGATGACATAAATCATGTAACATGTTAATATTTGCAGGACAATGTAAGTAGAAGTGTAGAACCGAGAGTCAAGCGCAAAGTAATCATCCAACTAGAACTCATGGAGTCTGTTCAAGCTATAACAACAAAAAAAAGGTAGTTGCAAAGAAGAACCTGTAGAAAGATTGATGATAAGACAGGACATGCTACTTACATTGAAAGTTGATACAATGACAGCAAACTCTCCCTTGGTTATAGGGATGTAAATGCTCTCATCAACGTTGATAAGTCGGTTCTGGACACCTAGCAGCAAGAAATGATTACCAGGATCAATCTGTGAGCATAGATCGATGAAACCAAAATCTGTAACAATGAGTTGGCAACTACATACTGAGGTTGAAAAAACGACCATTGCCATCTGGTGTTGGCTCAACCTTTAGAACCTTACGCACTTTACCTTCTTCACTGTTTATATCAAAAGATGAAATGACAATGTGGTTAATAATTTATTGATGCACAGTACCAAGGTTGAATGTGCATGAAGCAATAAATAATGGAAGAAAAATATAAAACACAATGTTTAAGGATGTAAAAATGCTTATAAAGTCTAGATATATGATGCTATAGACAATGTGACTGAGGATTATGGAACCCTCACTGAGCAATCTTGATTAGAGATGTTGGATGGATGAAATCAAGATTACATTAGCTAGCAAGATTTTGTGTGTTGAAATAAAAATACAGTTGAAACAAATCCCCTCTGTCGCTAACTGTAACAAAAGGAGGGGCAAGAATGCCTTCCCCAGTTGCCATTCCTTTTAAAACTTAAGATGAAACAAATAGAGTTGATAAGCAACAACGACAAGTCCTTAAACCAGATTGGCACAAACAGTATGAAAGAAGTTTGATGACGATATAATTGCATTCTTACACAACTGGACAGGCAACAAAAGAAAATAATATATGCTGCAACTGACTAGGAGAATAACAAGCTGCATAACATGATCATGTACGTTTGTGGCATCTTTTCTGGAAACCTCAGAGCTAAACAACAATAGGGGGAGACTCACTAGGAGAACTCAGGTAATCAGATACATTAAATGATACCAACCTCCGGCCCTTGAAAGGGTCATGAAAGAACTCGCATGAATCTGTTGGACCAAGAGTAAGCAGGGTTCCTATCTCCCACACAGATAATGAGAACACCTGCATAGCATAGCATTGAATTACATCAAACAAGTTAGTGTGAGAACATTAGATGGATACAAAGAACCAGCAGGCTAATCGCAAAATTGACAAAAACATATAGCAGGCAAAATATAGGAAGCAGGAAAGGTCACATAGGATCCGAATGAATAGAACCCATGGGCCATAATACATGCCATTGCTTCCATGGTCTGAGTGACGAAGCAGTAACTATCCTTCCTGGTTCAGCTTACAAAGAAGCAACAATGCAGCCAGTTGAAAACTGAGCGTCTAAATTGCTATAACATTTATTTTCAGCAAAAGAAAAGCAAGCTGAATTTCTAGCTACGCTACAAATATCGGCTCTTCTCTTCCCATACCCGATGAACTGGATCAAATTGGTGAGCCGGGTATAAAAAAAAAAAAAGATAAGTTGAAACCAAAACCTGAGGTAATTGGAGCATACCTGCTTGCGCGTCCAGTCGTACTGTCGTGTGGCCACGGCGGGCGCGAACTGCAGCAGCACGAAGCCCTCCTTAGCCACCTTGTACGCCCCAGACTACAATAACTCGCACACGCAGCATCCGTTAGCGCAATACGCGTAGGGAACAATGACGGAAACAACGGGGCCCCCATCCTCCTCTACCTACATCGAGCGGCACGAACTGCGGCGGCCTGGGGTCGAATGAGAGTGCGGCCTTGCCCTTGTAGATGCTGTAGCTGGTGAAGACCCTCCCGTCCTGTGCGCCGTTGGGGGCGCGCCCGTACCCGCCGTCCCCGCGCGGCGGCGGCGGGGCCCGGGGGTCGAAGTAGTCGGAGTGGCGCGGGGACGCGACGGGGCACGCGGGGAGCGCGGCGGCGGACTTCCTGGAGGAGGCAACGGGCGGGGCTAGTAGGGTCAGGGCGTGCGGGGACCTGGGGTGGTGGTGTACGGGCAGGAGCGCAGTCGGCGGTGGCGGCGAGGCGAGCGAGAGGAAGAGCGGCGCCGGCGGTGGCATTGCGCCGAACGGGCTGGGGGCGAGAAGACACGCGGCTCAGACCGTCAGACGGGTGGGCGGTGCCAAGGGGTTTATCCTGTGCTGGCTCTGTGCTCTGTAGATGGACCGGTCGGGGCCGTCAAGTTATCGGCTTTGGGCCTATGCTGACATGGGCCTACCTCACTGTGAGCAAAGCGGGCAGCCCTCAAGCCCGTGAGAGCATGGACCCACATCCACAGACCCACTTGACAGCGAGAGTCGTCGATGCCACTGCTCTAGCGCCATTATTTGGGCCTGTCTATCTATCCGTTTTCTGTGATGATTACTGCACTGTTTTTTTTTCGGGAATTGCTGCACTGTTTCTCAAGGGAAAGGTCATTCTCATCTTTCTGAAAGAGAGTCCAAGTTTCTATTAAGGGCTCCTTTGATGGGGCTCCAGACTTTTGGAGAAACGTTTTAATTTTTTATTCTTTTGGAGAAAAGTTTCTTAGACAAACATAATCACTTATTTGTCTGTCTAGATTTAGATTCTGAAGAGAGGGGAATGTGGTTGAATAGATCCAAGTGCTCTTAGGCCCTCCATAATGTATACCTTGAGTGATGCCCAAAAGAAGAGAGAGAAGATTCTGGCGTCGCTCCCCCCATTGCATCAAGCGAAGCCAACTCAACTGCGCAACTACTTGCACCAGTGCCCGCCTGTGGGGGTATGGCCCCCGGTATCCACGAGACAAGACATGGGTCACACCATCAGAGGTGGCCCAACCCACAAGATCAAGGTGTGCACGACGCTGCTCGGCGTGCACCGCAAGCTATTGTATAGTACCAAATAGGATACTTTTCTTGTAACCCTACCCCTCCAGAGTATATAAGGAGAGGCAGGGGTCCTCTTGTGGACAGATCGATACACTACATCTCAATACAATACACCAAAGACATAGGACGTAGGGTATTACGTCGATCAGACGGCCCGAACCTGTCTAAATCGCTGTCTTTGCGCCTTGTGTCACCATCCGGTTCCTATCACGCGCACCTCCACCGATCAATCTACCTTCGTAGGATACCCCTCGGAGGACTGCCGAGCATCTTTTGTCGACACCGCCCGATGCCAAAACCATGAAATAGTATTTTCTTTGTCAACCATTCACCGGACTCTCGTCCACCGCTCCGCCTTCCATCTCACTACTACAGGAAATTTATTGGAGTAGAAAGGTCACGAGAATTGATCTTTCCTGAGGCGGTTCAAATACCCGCCTCGGTAAATCCAATAAAATAAACAAAAAAAAAGAAAATCCATAGACAAGCCCAAATGAGGCCATCCATGGGCCCTCCGAGCCCATCCACGCACCGTCATCATCGCTTGTAGATCCGTAACGCCGGCCCTCGATCCGCCATCGGGTGCCACCACCCTAGATCCGCAGCCGATGGGATGCCCGCAAGACCGGATCCGCCGTGGAGCACGCCATACTGATTCGCCGCTGGGTGCGGCCCACCTAGATCCGTCGCCGTAGGGCGGGCACCGGGGGTGGGGGCCGCCCCACGCGACGTCACCGTGGAAGAGGGGCCCACGAGGGCCGAGGAAGAGGGACCCGCGAGCGTTGAGGAAGAGGGGCCACCACCGCGCGCCGCCTAGAAACGGCCCCCTGCTCCTGCTGCCACCGCGCACCGCCGCCGAGAGCTGGCGCCCTGCGCGCCGCCTGGAGAGGACAGAACGAGAGATGGAGGGGGTCACGAGAAAGAGCAGAGAACGAGAGGGAGGTGGGTCGGGGTGCATTGAGTGGCGACCGAGAGAAAGAGAACAAGAGAGACATAATGACTGGGAATTAGGGTTTGCTCAGTTATATACGTGAAAGAGTAACCGGATCGGATTGGGCCGCTGGTGGGCTCAGCCTTATTAACGGATGCATGCCTCTTTAGAGGTCCCGCCTCTAAAAATGGCCTGACTATTTTAGGAGGCAGTTATTTTTTACCGCCTCCGTAAATCGATTTTACGAGGCGAGCAATTTTAATCGCCTCCGTAAATAAAAACGACAACCTCCGTTAATCGTCAGGCATTTTATGAGGCGGTTGGATTGTATGACCACCTCAGAGCTACAAATCCAAACACCTCGTAAAAGTTTTTGTGTAGTAGTATCTTTGGTTCCATCGCTGTAGCTCGCAAACCCCGGTGGCGATGATGGTGCCTTGCCTGCTCTCCTCAAACAAGCTCTGCCTCGTCTCCCCAGCAATGCGATGACGTTTTGTGGCTTGTCTCCACAGCAACTGCCTTCTCCTACTCATCCCTACTCACGGCTATTCTCTCGTCCGCCCCGCCTCCTCTTGCGCCCCACCTCCTTCGGATGCCGCCTGATTTGAGCAAAGAAGCATCTAGAGATGCAAGATCTAAGAAGGGAAGACCTTAATTTAGGAGCATGAAAATCGATTTGGAGGATTTTGCTTCCTCTTCGCTTCAGGAGGAACGAGAGTAGGAGGGGATTTTTTCCCAGCGCGAGTGAAATGAATGGTGGGGAAGACAATCAATACTTTATTGCACTGTAGGTCCCATGAACTAAAATAGCACCGATTCGTAACTATTTTCACACTGCAGATGCTTGGTTTGCTGTACCTGGACCCACAAGTTTTTCTGGCTTCACTTCCACGACCCACAAGTTTTTCTGGCTTCACTTCCACGACCCACATATTTTTCTGGCTTCACTTCCACATTGTGGAGGGCCTTAACATGTGATGAGTTTTTCTTGAGTTATTACAGGGAAAATAATCATTTGCAGATTGGTGATTTTTTAGAATTTATCATAGCCAATATGTATCTATAAAAACATATTATAGATTTTATACAAATGGTTCTTAAGAAAATAAAGCATCTACAGATAGGTGGTGGTTCTTGCCAGACACCAGCCGATTGGATAAGCCAGCTGGATGGTAATCCATGTAATTACCAGCAAAAGAAAGGATCCATGGAAGAGGTGGAGAAGAGATCGAGAATTGCTGCGAAACCAGCAAAAGGCTGTTTCGAGGTTTGACTTGCAAAAAGTGAAATGCTTCGGGTCTGAGTCTTTGGCAGGTAAACCTAGGCCTTGTTTAGTTCCCTTCAAAATTCCAAGTTTTTTCACTCTCTCTCTATCACATCAATTTTTAGCCGCTTGCATGGAGCATTAAATGTAGGTAAAAAAAATAACTAATTGCACAGTTTAGTTGGAAATCACGAGATGAATCTTTTGAGCTTAGTTGGTCCACGATTGGACAATATTTACCAAATAAGACGAAAACGCTACTATTCATCGGGTTGCAATTTTTTGCAATCTAAACATGGCCCTATTTGGAAGTGATTCTTCTGATTCTCCTCAGAAATAGAACCATTTTACTACCTGTGAATGGTTTCAACGTGACGTTAGTCCGTTGTCGGATTGCTCAATAATTTATCTTTCTTGAAAAAGTATTTCAGGATAAAGTTGTCCACATATATTATTTTTCAAAAAATTATTGAAATTTTTCAATATTACTTTGTAGAAAAAAGGAAAATAAAAAACAAACGTCAGCTATCCTACCGCTGCCACCACACCTAGTAAAACCCTCGAGATGTCATCTATAGGGAAGGGAAATATCAAAGAGGATGGCCAAGACAGCTATTGCTGATTGCTCGGTGAATGGGACAGAGAAGCTGACGGAGGAGATTTGTAGCTTTGGTTGCTTAGATAGATTTTTGCGCGTGTGCGAAAATTGGAACTTGGGCTGCTCAGAAGTGAGATTGGGTTCAGGCTGAGGCTGGTGTTGCGCCCTGTTCGTTTGGCTGATAAGCCATGACTGAAAATAGTGTTGGTTGATTTGTTGTGAGAGAAAAATACTGTTTATTAGCTAAAAAGTACGGTTAATAAACCAAACGAACAAAGCGTAGGTGTGTATTGGAGTCACATGAGGAAAGGAGGGAGCAGCGAGGACACAATTTGTTGCTGCTAGGTTAATTTCTCCCAAAATATCCATTGTTACTGCCTTGTTGTTGCCTTACTCAGTTGAAGAAATATCTGCATGGAGCAGGAAAAGAGAAAGAAAAGAGTGGCGGCGCCTCTTGGGAGAGATGGACGAATCGTTACACTTATTGGCCCATCCAGAACTCCGCTTTTTTTTTTCTTTTTCTTTAATTATTAATCATCGTCTCGTGTGTGTGCTAGGCTGCCAGCCAGCCTTTGCTTTTCTTGCACTTCTTGCCCTTTTCTTTACTGACATGTAGTTAGTAGTGTAGATATTTGAGAGCATGTTTGTTGCTTGTGCATGTGCAGAAGAAAATCATTGCCACCCTGTCACCAGGCTTCAGTTTTCATAGGATGATCCGCTATTATTGATCTCCATTGCTCATAAAACTACTCAACGCGGAAACAATTTTGACGGCAAACAAGTGTATTAAAAGTAAAAAAAAAACAATGAATTGGTGCACGTTACAATTTTCTCCAAATAATGAAGCCATCTATATACGATAATAAATTGTTCAACTTTTTTTGTTCTGCGACCGAGGTTCCTGATTGTTGGAAACCGAAGTTTCTAAAAACCAAAAACCAGACCGAAGTACACCAAATGCTCAGTCCTACAATTAGGTCTAAGCTATGTCTAATTGTTTATATATTTCTTGCCAAACAAATATTTAATTGTTTATTGGACTTGGTCGAGTTAACAGCTTTTCTCTACAGTTGCAAAGCATGGGCATATATGTTTGCTAGTAACTTAAAAAGTAAAATGGATATACTTTTCTTCTTTCGTAAGACATGATGCCATTGGGCCTGTTCTTGTCCACTGCACTGTTTTAAGTGTCAACAAGTCTCCCACCAAACATTGCTGATCCATTCCTTAGTAGACTGCTGGGGGTAGCTATACGTTTTCATCCAGTGCACGAAAGTTCTACTAGAGGACATACATAAAGACGCGATTGAAAAGAATGTCGCTGTTTGGCGCCCATCACCATCAGGTGGAGTCAAGGATTCGTGCCACGCGCGCTCGGCAGGAACGAAGCAGCCCTGCGAACAACCCAAGGCTGC